ATCGAGTAGGAGAGGTGGCTTATAGACTTGCATTGCCGCCGAGCTTATCAGCCGTGCATCCAATTTTTCATGTGTCCATGCTTCGGAGGTAGCACGGCGATCCAGCCCACGTGTTAGATTTCAGCACTATCCAGTTGGACAAGGACTTATCTTATGAGAAGGAGCCGCTAGCCATTCTAGACCGGCAGGTTCGTCAGTCGAAATCCAAGAGTTTCCCTTCTGTTCGTGTTCAGTGGAGAGGTCAGCCTCCTGAGGCATCGACCTGGGAGTCCGAGTCCGATATGCGGAGCTGTTATCCCCATCTATTCCCCGATTCAGGTACTTCTTTCTTTTGTCCGTTCGAGGACGAACGGTTGTTTTAGAGGTGGAGAATGTGACGACCCAAAGGGTCATCACCTGTTTTCTTACTCATTCCGTGCTTCCGAGACCTTGAAAACCTCATTTGTAGTCGCCTCGATTTGCATGCGTAGTCCGGGCGCGTAGCCAGAAAGCTTAAATATGAAATTCTGTGTTAAATGCAAAAATTTGATATTAAAATGAGTAAATTTGACTCCGGTCAATATTTTGGATAAACAGACTCGACCCGTGATTTGACGGCCCCGAAGGGTCCGTAGGAAAATATGGGACTTGGGCGTATGCCCGGAATCGAATTCCGAGGTCCGAAGCCGAGAAATGAATTTTTGAGTAAAATTATTTTCTGAAAATATTTAGGGATTTTGGAAATGAAAATTGATTAGAACGTGTTGGTATTGGGCCCGTATTTTGGTTCTGGCGCCTGGTACAGGTCTTATATATGATGTAAGATGTTTCTGTAAAGTTTGTTAAAATCGGACGTCGTTTGACGTGTTTCGGACTTGAAATCCTAAATGTGGAACTTGATGAAGTTTTGGAAAAAAAATGCTTTGAATTTGAGGTTTAATTTGTTGATAATGATGTTATTTAGGCGATTTGATCGCTCGGATAAGTTCGTATTATGTTGTTGAGTTAGTTCATGTGTTTGGTTAGGAGCCCCGAGGGCTCGGGTGTGTTTCGAAGGTGTTTCGGAATGGTTTTTGGCTTGGAAAAGTTGCAGAAGATAGCAGTTCTGGTGTCCAGGGATTTACTGTTATGCGATCGCATAGTAAGTCCCGCGATCGCATGGTGTAAAACTTCATGGTCCCGTTTTGTTCTATGCGTTCGCATGCATCTCTCCGCGATCGCGTAAGGTTAAGTTTGAGAGGTCCTTCTTTTGTTCTATGCAATCGTACTGTCTACTCCGCGATCGCGATGTGTCAGCCCCCAGCCTTCCTTTCCTTCTATGCGATCGCATGGCATAGTCTGCGATCGCAATGCTCAGCCCCAGTTATTATATGCGATCGCATCCTTTGGTCCGCGATCGCGTAGGCTAAATTCGCCTAGTTATTTTAAATGTTCAGAAACAGTAGCCATTCGAGATTTTCATAACACTTCTCAAACTCTTTCTTCTCCAAAGTTCTAGGGCGACCATTGAAGCATCCTTTCACCATTAACTCTTGGGTTAGTAATTTTTAACTTGTTTTCTTCATTTTCCATCAACATTTATTGAATGCCTAGGCTTAAAACATGTGATTAAGGGTAAAAATTGGGGATTTGGGTAGAATTAGGGCTTTTTCTATTTTTCTTGATTTAGACCTCGTTTTGGGGTCGAATTTGAAAATAAATTATATATTCGGGCTCGTGGGGGAATGGGTGATATGAATTTGGTCGGAACCTCGTGTTTTGACCAAGCGGGCCCGGGGCCGATTTTTGGGATTTTGGGAAGAAAGCTTGGAAATCTATAATTAGGCATTGGGTTTGATTTGTTTAGCATATATTGATACTATGAAGTCATTATTGTATAGATTTGATTGATTGGAGCCGAATTCGAGAGGGAAAGCGGTTGTGGTGGATTGATTTGGCCGTGGAAGTTGAGGTAGTGTTTGGTCTAACCTTAGCTTGAGAGAATAGGAGTTGAGTCTTATTTGCTACTTGCTAACTGTCGAGTACGATGTATAGGCATGGTGACGAGTATCTATACATTGGTGTCTAGTATGACCGTGAGTCCTATATTGTGATTTCCATGACTTCGTTGTATTATTCATGCCTTGGTGATTATTTCTATTTGTTGTGCAAAGATGTGGAAAGAATCGTGACTTATGGATGAGGAGCGTTGGCTCCAGTTGTATAGCGAATTGCGAAAATATACGTGATAATTGAACCTCTAGAGCATTGGCTCGAGTTATGAAATGAATTGTGAAGTAAAAGTGAGGAGAGAAAAGATCATTATGCTGTCCCTTGGCGGGCTATTGTCGAATTGTGGTTCCCTTGTATGGTGTTCTTAATTGATATTACGGATGCTTAGTTTAATGATTTCTTGTGTTGAGTAAGGACTAAAGTTATAGCTGCGGTAGTTAGGTATTGTAATAGGTTTGGTTATAGCTGAGGTGTTTAGGTGTAGTAACAAGTTTGATAATAGTTGTGGTAGTTAGATGTTGTAACAGGATTGATCATAGTTGTGGTAGATAGATGTTGTAACAGGATTGATTATAGTTGTGGCAGTTAGATGTTGTAACAGGATCGGTTATAGCTGCGGTAGTTAGGTGTTGTAATATGTTTGTTTATAGCTGAGGTGTTTAGGTGTAGTAACAAGTTTGATAATAGTTGTGGTAGTTAGACGTTGTAACATGATTGATTATAGTTGTGGCAGTTAGATGTGGTAACAGGATCGGTTATAGCTGCGGTAGTTAGATGTTGGGACAAGTGCTGTTATAGATGTTTCTCCCTTGTCGGGACGTAATTACTCATGCTATCGAATCCCTTGTCGGGATAGTGTGGAACTTATCGATCTCTTGTCGGGACTCTCATTAAAATTGTAAATATTGTATATGGATCGGGTTGCACGCCGCAATAATATTGTATATGGATCGGGTTGCACGCCGCAACAATATTAAATATGGATCGGGTTGCACGCCGCAACAATATTATATACGGATCGGGTTGCACGCTGCAATAAAGATATAATAAAATGGGAGCGGGTGGTACGCCTACCACGAGATATAATGAAATGGGAGCAGGTGGTACGCCTACCACGAGATACATGAAATGGGATCGGGTTGCACGCCTGCAACGAGATATGTACTGATAGTGAAACCTGCTTTTATTTCCCTTATCCGTGTTAGAGTTAAATTATTGATGTTCTTTATTATTCTCTTGATATTCTGTTTTTACCTGTTATCCCCCCGAAGCATGTTTCCCCCTCCCATCCTTACTTGCTTATACCTGCTTTACTTTCCGCTGTATTTTATATAATTGCACAGGTTTATTTGATAGTCTGGTCCTAGCCTCGTCACTACTTCGCCGAGGTTAGGCTAGGCACTTACCAGCACATGGGGTCGGTTGTGCTGATACTATACTTTGTGCTCTTTTGCACAGATCCAGGTATTGGACACATCAGTAGTTGGGGGGCTTCCTTCAGTCCACCCGGAGACCCAAGGTAGACTGCAGGCGTTTGCGGGCCCTGGCGCCTCCCTTTATCTTTATTCCCTGTTTCATTTTCTTTGTTCCAGAAACAGCTTATTGTATTTTCCTTCGGACTTTGTTTGTAGTGACTCTTAGACAGTCTGTGACACTGTGATACCAGTTCTTGGGTAGAGGCTTATGTTGGATTTCCGCATTTTCTATTCAGTTTCTTTAATTTAAGACTTTCGCTTTATTATTAAATTCCATTGTTGCATGCGATTGCTGATATTTGCTAAAAGAAGTAATTAAGGTTTGGCTTGCCTAGCTCTCACTAGTAGGCGCCATCACAACTCCCGAGGGTGGGAATTCCGGTTCGTGACAAGATCTTTGCAAAGTCAATGAAAAATGTTGCGATACGTTTAGGGAAGTAGCGGAAAAGAGAGGCCTATTATGTAGTGATAACAATTTAATTGAGTATATGTCTGAAGCTGTGAGTTATCAAATGCTTTATAGTTTAAGACGCTTATTTGCTACAATATTAGTTTACTGTAATCCTGCAAATCCAAGAGAACTATGGGAAAAATTTGAAGAACCTATGTCTCAAGATTTCTAGAGAATTCCAAATTTGGAAACAAAAGAGATTCGCCATTCAGTTTTGAATCATATTAACGAAGTTTTACATTCAATGGACACAATATATATGAATTCAAATTTATTTCTGAAACAATTATACTTCCTTCACCAACTAACGAGGCAAAAGATGTTCAATTTGAGAGAAATATAATAGTAAGTGAAGAAGATTTACTCTTATAAAAAAAATTAAACTCTGAACAAAGAAGAGCCTATAATATTATTCTTGATAGAGTATATTCTAATAAACCAGGAGCATTTTTCATTGATAGTCCTGGAGGAACAGGAAAGACATTCTTGTATCGAGCTTTGTTAGCTAATATAAGTGTAAGCACGTGATTTTTGCCCTATACGAAATACTCCTATAAAATCCCAAGAAAAATAGATTTTTTGTTAATTATCGGCCATTTTAGGATTTTTTGTAGAATTTTTAATTGTTTGCATTTTGTGCATGTTTAATTTTTACTTTAATCATGAAAAAATACCAAAATATCACGCATGGCATTTAGGCTTTATTTTTACATTTTTTTTAGGATTAATCGATAGTTATTTATTTTATAAAAAAAATTAAAAAATTAAACAATCACAAAAATAGCTCATTCTTACATTTATTTGTCTTTTAATTTTGGTTTATTGATTTTTCACTTTTAATATAAAATTAAGTGTTGTTTATAATTTTATAATTAGCTAATTAGTTTAATTTCACATTTTGGATAATTTTGAATTGTTAATTTGTAGGATTTTAATTAAAAGAAAAAAGAAAAATTAGAAAATAAAAGAAAGAATTGGAGAAGAAAGGTTTATCTTGTGAAATTGGGCCAAAATTAATGCTGAGCCCAAAGCTTATACCTAAATCTGTCCAAACCCAATAATCCACTCAAAGCCCAATACCCTTTGCCTTTTAAATCAGCGCATTTATCATCAGAGCAAGACCTTGGAAAACAGCGCATTTGTCCATGGCCCTTCTTCATCTCCTTCATTTCTAAAAGCCACAGAAAACACCCGGCCATCCCCTCCTCCTTCTATCACTCATCTCCCTCATTTGAAATTTCCATAAATACACATGAAATAGAAAGAGGAAAGAGGTTCGAAATTAAAAGAAGAAATAAAAAAAAATCAGATCTGAAAGCTTTAAAGCTCAAAAGCTTTTCCTGGGTTGGTGCTATTCGAAGTCCGAATCGCTGATTTCTGCTGAAGCCGAGCTCCAATTTGTAGATCTCGTTTTGATTTCATTTGCAATCTAAGCGGTTTTTTGTAGATTGTTGGTTGTACACCTTTCATGGAGGTTCTACTCCCTTTAATCTAAAAGATAGACGCACTCAGAGGTCACTCTTATTCCTCTCTTTGTTGTGGTTCTGTGTTTTGCTTAACTGATGCTTAATGCTTAAAAAATGTATCTATTTGGTAGTCCATTTCCTAAATTCCTAAAGTTGAATCTTCCTTTTACAGTTTATTCCGTACTAGCTTGAGTTAGATCATTGATGACGGAGGATAACTAATAAACTGGCTACAATTATGTGATGGAACAATTTAATATTCCGAACATATGGCAAATTCATATCTAATTCTGTTAACTATGTTTTGAGATTTGTTAAATCCCCTAGCTAGACACGAAGTGATATTTTGACCCATTTTGTTACTTTTTCTTCCTCTATTCTTCTTTGTTTGATTTATACGTGATCTTTGGAGATGCTCTCCAATCTGGATTTAATTGTAGCTGTATCAATAATTTTGTATGTGATGGTATGTTTTCTTTTGGTTTGAAACTCCAGCGTCTTTGGATTTGAGGTTTTGAATTGATGTGCATATTTGTTTAGGAAATGCTTTAAATATTCATGATCCATTGTCTCCCTTTCTTGTTTGATAGTTAAAAACTTGAAATGCAAAAATACAGAATGGTGGGTATTTGACAATTACTTTGTAGTAGAAAAGCTGCTTACAATTTGTCAATAATGGGACGTGAATCTTTTATATATACGTATGTGTATGTTCGGATAGCAGAGGTGCTGATTTTTCTGTTTTAAGCATTAAATGCAGTTCTTCGGTCCTCGTGGTTCATATTCCCATGTAACCGAACTGTGCTGCATTTCAAAAACAGTTGTTTGTTCATATCATGTTGATCTCAGATATAGAAAATGCTTAACTCGTGAATCTTCGTAGTTGGCGATTAATAACTATCGTGGCCATGAGTACGATTCCCGTGACGTAGTTGTGGTACTAAATTTTGAATTAGCTTTAAACATGAGTACCCATAGATATTAAACTTAGTTGAATTGTTTTGAGGTGTGCCATATTAAGTAAGATTAGTTATGGCCCTCGAGAGTTTAGTTGAATACCCTTTAAAATGGAAAATTGAAGTGCGCCGTGCCAAATAAAAATCAATTGCATGGTTCTCGTTTTAATTAATTTTTGTTTAAATCCTTAGAATTCGAGGTGTGCCATTTAGCGAATTTTCATGGCCCTCGCAAAGTTGCAAACACGTTAGTCACTTTAGGCGCGTTCTTTAATAATCTTAACTTCCTAAATTCGGGTGCGCATTTCATGCGACCCAAATCCAAATCCTAAAACGTTGAATAAAATGTGTCGAGGATCCGAGTGCATTTCATGTGATGTGGTCCGAAAACATGTTTTAAACGACGCTCAATTTCTTAATTTTTTTAATTAAAAGCGGTAAATAATTCTAAAATTGCACTATAGGACGACATGTATAAAAATCAGATTTTAGCCATTTATGATGATTTAAGCGACCGTGCTAGAACCACGGGATCCGGGGGGTGCCTAACACCTTCCCTCGGGTCAACAGAATTCCTTATTCAGAATTTCTGGTTCGCAGACTCCAATTGGGAAGTCGAAATTTTCCTCGATCTGGGATTCAAGTTAAACCGGTGACTTGGGACACCAAAAGCCGATCCTATCCCAAGTGGCGACTCTAAACAAATAAATAATCCCATTTCGAATAATGTCACTTCAAATGGAAAAACTCCCTTATACATTTATCCTTTGGGGTAGGTGTGTAAAAAAGGAGGTGTGACAATAAGATCAAAAGGTTTTATAGCTTTAGCAACGGCAAGTTCTGGTGTTGCAGCTTCAATTCTACCTGGAGGACGAACTGCTCATTCGCGTTTCAAAATTCCTATAGGCATTGATGAGAATTTTACATGTAATATTAATAAACAAATTGCATTAGCAACTCTAATTCAAGATTCAAAGTTAATTGTCTGGGATGAAGTCTCAATGGCAAAAAAAGAAAATGATTGAAGCTTTTAATACTCTTTTAAAAGATCTCATGAATACGAATATACTCTTTGGTGAAAAAGTTGTAGTTTTTGGAGGGGACTTCCGGCAAACACTTCCCGTTGTTCGTAATGGGAAAATTCTGATATTTGGAATGATCTTGAAAAGTTGTGTTTATCAGAAAACATGCGTGCAAAAGAAAATCCTGCTTTTTGTGAGTATTTAATTAGAATTGGAAACGGACAAGAAGAAACTAATAACTCCAACAATGTTCAAACTCCACGTAATTTTATCATCCCTTTTACCACTGAAACACAATCATTAAATCAATTATTCAATGTTACTTATCCTGATCTACATACATTCTTTTCTAATCCATCATATATGACTTCGCGTGTTATCTTAACTACAAAAATAATTTTGTTGATGAAATAAATGACATGCTTATACATTAACTTTCCAGCAATGCTAAAATATATACTGCAATTGATGAAACTACAGTACTGACTAATTTCTAAGTAGCATCCCTGAGAATGGCTATGTACTTGCCCCTAAATTATTCCACACAACAGATCCTCTTTGAAGCCCATTAGGTTGTCAAAGCAACGTTACCTCATTTTACGGGTAGAGATGAGACGACATCAGAGAAGAACAAAATGGAGAAAGAAGCACAACAGAAAACCAAGAAAATGACATGAATGGACCTATGGAAAAAGGAACGGAACGAAAAAAATTACTCAGTACTTTTAGGCATATTGTCAAACATGCACCAAATCTTCCTTTTCGTTACTACTATTTTTGCTTTTAATGGTAAATTCAGTTTGTTTGTGTAGAAGAGCATAAATAGTTGTTCAAGATGGAATCGTAGCTATCCAATATTTCATCTTTGCGATGTACTAATCTATTAGCTTCTTATCTTTTGCTTTGTTTGGTGATACATGTGTAACATATATATTTTCTCTTCCTCCCCGTTTTTATTCAATATAAAAGAGGAGTACAAAATGCAGAAGAGTTGGCATCCCAAACTCTCTGTTCCTATAGAGGCGGAACATGCTCCAACCAATACATATGTAGGTCATCAAATTGTTTCACAAAAGGGAGATAGGGAGTGAGAGATCTTCCTTATGCTACAAAAAAGAAAATCAAAGAACATCAAAATTATATAGTCTAAGCAGGTGTCGATCCATGTTAACCTTCCCTTGGGAGATGTTGAAAGATTGTATACAGGTGATGGCGCTACAATATAAACCACAATTAGATAAATTGTCTGCCACTTTGTTACTTTCTCAGTGTGATTCACCTTTGTCTCATCAAATAGCTCTATCTTGCTTCTTTTGTCTTTCACTTTATTTTGTAATCTCCAGGGTATACTAGATGTATTTGTTAACCACTGGGAGCCGCTTTCTGTTTCCAGTTTCTATTTATCAATATCATGAATGATCAATGCACCATTCAGTTCCAGCTTCCTGCAGTATTGTTAGTCACTGTGCCCAGGGGCGTTGCATAAGCGGGATGCACAAGATGTTATTGAAAGGTTAGGTGAAGCAATATATTTTGCTGTTACAGGGGAGTCTAGAGATCAAGGATTAAAAACTCAAAATAGCGACTAAGGATTCAAATTTCGAGTTTTGTCTAGAGATCAAGTATTAAAAACTCAAAATAGTGGAGTGTTTCTTACTTCTGACACCTCCTGTGTTGCATCTAGTGTTGATAGAAGTGCAAGGCAAGCAGACTTGCCATACTATGGGAAGTTATAAGATATTATTGAGCTTAATTATTATCAATTCACGGTTGTGCTCTTCAAATGCCAGTGGGCAGACACTACTCGGGATAGAGGGTTCAAAAGAGATGCTTGGAATTTTAATTGTGTCAACTTTTACTAGATTGATTCATATTGGTGATCGTGAGGATGATGATCCTTACATTGAAGCATCACAAGAAAATATGGTTTACTATGTTGATGATGAAACGGATAAAGAATGGAGTGTGGCAGTATATACAAAGCCGAGAGATTTATTTGATATAGGAGAGGTTGATGAAAATGAAATATATGAGAATCAACCATACCAGCAACAATAACTTGAACAATTTTTTGATGATGCTTATGAGAATATCCAAATTGCAATAGATGAGCATATGTCTAAATAGGCATGTCAATTTTCATGTATCCTTGTATGTTTATTTTTTTTCTTCTATATATATGTACTTTATTTTGTATTTTGTTTTTTTTATTTCTATTACTTACTAATTTTTTTTGTTGATTGCAGATATGCCGAAGACCAAACGTTTCCAGAACTTACAAAAGTCAGTTCAATCAGCATCTTCTTCACCATCCATGGGGCAGACAACTCCTTGCAATCAGCCGACTCCTTCTTTTCAGGCGACATCGCTACCAACTCGTTCATTCCAACCTACAAGACAGCAAACCGCTTCATTTCAGGCCACAATACTGCCAACTCCTTCATTTCAGGCCACAGGACAGACAATTCCTTGCATTCAGCCGACTCCTTCTTTTTAGGCGATATTACTACTAACTCCTTCATTTCAACGCACAAGACAGCAAATNAAGACTCGAGCGCATCTTTGCAGCCTCGAGGCTTTGAGGTGATTTTCCAAATGCCTCGATACGGGAAATTGGACCCTCCGATTTTGCCGTATACACTACTGCAACTTCCAGAATTCCATTCCGACCCCTATATCAAAATGTCACCTATCAACCGGAAAATGCCAAAATTCCAATTTCGCAATTCAAGCCTAAATCTACTCCGGACCTCCAAAATACATTCCGATCACGCTCCTAAGTTCCAAATCACCTAACGGAGCTAACCAAATATAAAAATTTCAATCCGAGATCATTTATTAACAAGTCAAAACTTGGTTAACCTTTCAAATTTTAAGCTTCAAACTGAGAACTGTTCTTCCAAATCCGTTCCAATTACCCTGAAAACCAAAACCGACGATTTACATAAGTCATAATACATCACACGGGGCTATTCATGCCCGAGAACTGGCGAGGAAAGTGCAAAAGCTCAAAACGGCCGGTCGGGTTGTTACAAAGGCAAAAGCCAGGCCACAGGACAGACAATTCCTTGCATTCAGCCGACTCCTTCTTTTTAGGCGATATTACTACTAACTCCTTCATTTCAACGCACAAGACAGCAAATCGCTTCATTTCAGGCCACAACACTGCCAACTCCTTCATTTCAGGCCACAGGACAGACAACTCCTTGCATTCAGCCGACTCCTTCTTTTCAGGCGACATTGCTACTAACTCCTTCATTTCAACGCACAAGACAGCAAACCGCTTCATTTCAGGCCACAACATTGCCAACTCCTTCATTTCAGGCCACGGGATAGACAACTCCTTCATTTCAGGCCATGGGATAGACAACTCCTTCATTTCAGGCCATGGGATAGACAACTCCTTCATTTCAACCTCTAATTAATCCCACACCAGCACAAGCAACATCCAATAAGTGTGCTAAACCTGAGTCTTCACATCATTGGACTGTCGATGGAATAGGTAATCATTATCCTTTCGTCGCTGTATAGGACTTTAGAGTCTAATTGTGGCTCTTGGCATATCTGTTGAATTTTGTCTGATATTTCTGGTGATTTCTACTTCCATTAAGTAACAAGATTTTCGTTTTCCCATGGGGTGTGAGTGGATCTATTTGCACTTGTCGGTAGACAATCTAGGCAGCCTGTGATCAAGATGATCTCTGGTGCAGCCCCTTTTTAGTTGAATAAAATGAAGTTTTTTATATGCTCATAGTTGATCAATGTTCCTTACAAAGAAGACGATTTGTTGTAAGCTTTTTTGGTCATTGATAAGTGACATCAGTTTTTAATACGTACCTAATAAAATTGGCAGAATTCTATTCTATTTCATTTATTAATGTTAAGTGGTAGTCGATTTTCAAACTGCAAACTCTGTTGCAGTTTCAAAAACGCTACTCAGCAGTTGAGTTTGTTAGTATGAATGATTGATCTGCTAGATTTCAGAAATCTTTGGTTTCATTAATGTGACTGATCTGCTGCACTTCTAGTTTCCATGTTAGTGCCCGATTATTTGTCAACCAATTTAGAAACAACTGGCTTCCTAGTAGATTAAACTTTTGTAATAAAGTAGAATCTGTAAACATCAGGGGAACTGTAGAATTAGAAAAAGAATAAGTTTAAGAACAAACTTTTGGAAATTAGACAATAATGAGTACCAGCATTTCATGTTTATGGGCTCTCTTTCTTGGTTATGGGATTGTTGTTGTAGGTGATACTCTTGTTGTTACAAGAAAACTTAGTGCTGACAAGATGGTAATATCTATGGGGAATATATTATTCCTGCCGAATCTCAGCAGTCCAATAAATGGCCTGAAACTGGTTTCATGTCACAAAATGCATAGATGAGTTATCTAGGACTCTCCCTCGGTAGGTTTTGCGCAGGTAGAGACCCTGAAACATCACCTGTAAATTAAATGCCCTCTAAACCTTTCATCATTACGGTTCAATCCAGTACTGAGAAAGTTCAATAGCTTTCTAGTTCCAAATATGCTAGCTAAACTAGTGAGCTTTGGAATGCAATTTTATGTTGCTAATTCATGACAGAAGTTTCTTAGCGTGTAATGTGTTCAATAGATTATAAATTTTCAGTTCTTGGATTATTATCACTTGACATCTCTTAATGAAACTGCCGCTGCTGTTGTTGTGTTATCTGAAGTTGATTTTGTTATGAGGATGATGTTTTTCTACTGATAGGAGATTCTGATTCCAAATGGGCTTGAGCTCTACTTGAAAGTGAATCAGTACTCTCTTCTTCTCTTGATTTTGAGTTTTCCTATATGTAAATGTAAGGATAAAGCCAAGAAAAAAATATTTAAGTGCTTTGCAAAATCATCACTACTGATTGCAAAAATATTTAAGTACTCTCTTCTTACCTTCACTTTTTTGCTTTTATTTTTATTTATTAAAGTTCACATGGAGATACCAAAAGGTTCAAATTGAAGACTAGAGAAGCATTAAGTTTACCTCAGGGAGAACGTGTTGTGGTGGAGTTTGATTGCTTGGATCGGATTGGCGAAGCACAAGGCCTTCTTGCAGGCGTATGTGGCCTTTTAGCAACTGACTGTACCATATTTCCAATTGGCTTTGATAAATGGCCGGATATGCCTAAGTCATACTTTAACGACAGCTTTAATAACATTATAAAGGTATAAGTTCTATATCTTTATAACTATATCTCTATTTTGTCTTTTGTTTTTATATTTGTATATAAAAGATAAACTAACCAAAATTTATTTTTGAAGTCTCATTTCTGCTTTATGACCATTGAGGAAGTTGCACGAGAATATGTTTATCGCTCTATTGCAAAGAAGTGGGATGCAAGTAGGCAGAAGTTGTAGGATGAGTTTAAAGACCCACTTAAAACCAAAGATGAGATTACGGATAATGTTCCGGTAGGTATTACTCGGGATCAATGGACTTCCTTTGTGGAACTACCGTTATAAAGAAGAAACTCAGGTATTTTTCTGAAACGTCACATTAAAATGCATAAAAATATGATTATTCATTTATATAATTGACTGAAATGTATCTTATTATTAGAACATGTGTAAAAGAAATGCTGAAAATCGGAATAAACAAACAGTTCCACACACCGGTGGCTCCAAACCTAATTCTAGAAGAAGGGTTGAAATGGTGAAAGATGTTACATTATTTACCTTTACTATTTAAATTTTAGATATTGTATCTATTTCTTTTACTTTAATTAAACTATTCTGACTTATTTTTGTTTTCATACATAGATGGCTGAGACAGGGACTAAGCCCGGACGAGCATAACTTTATCTTGCTACACATACGAAAAAAGATGAATCATATGTAAATGAGGAGGCAAAAGAAATATGTGTAAGTTACTACTTTGAGAATTCTAAGAATGAGCACATTTTTAAATTCTTTCACTTGTCTCCAACTGCATCAATTGGAGCTCCCTCAACCTCATATCCTTGTTTTGGCTTGGCTTGATCACCCTGCAGAAATATTAGCTCCCGCAGAATCTGCTTTTGTCAATTCCTTCAGTCATATGAGGCTGAGGGATAACATTTCCCCCTCCTTTTTTTTGTTTCGGATAACATTGTTTAACTTCTTAAAAACTGGTCATACATGGTTTATATGTAGTCACATTTTTTTCCCTTCTATTTATTCAATCTCATAATGAGTTTTTATTGATCCAAAATTTATGATCTTTCAAGCCCATTGTCACAACCCCAAACCGGCCCGGTTGTGATGGCGCCTCTCGTGAAAACAAGGCCAGCCAACACAACACCCATATTAACCCTTTAATCATTAAGAGTCATTTTTAAGCCTTTAGTTAAACAATATTTCATAATATAAGTCTGAATGAACAGTGCGGAAATAACATACAAGCCCGACATCAGGGTGTCACTAGCCATGAGCATCTATCAAGGTCTGAATACAACAAAGACAGTCAAAATGTACTAAGTACAGAAATGAAAATGAGAGGAAGGAAGCAGTGCTGCGAACGTCGTGCAGCTACCTTGCCAACTATAATGACTCCGCGTCTGAGCATCCAACACCCGTTACCGGGTTCCGAAATACCTGAATCTGCACACGGGTGCAGGGAGTAATGTGAGTACTCCAACCCATTAAGTAATAACAGTAAATAAAGACTGAGCAGTAGGAAACAATGAATCCACATTTATGTTAACTCAATAAGCACAACAGGCTTTCAAATCTGAATACGAGTCAATCATCTCATTTTTTAAAATCTAGCTTTTTGGTAAAAATCATTTAAAATACCTTCCAGCAATTTCAGTAGGGGTTCAATACCATTTGTAATAAAAGAGATGAAAACCATAATGTGACGGCCCAAAGGGTCATCACCTGTTTTTTTACCCATTTTGTACTTCCGAGGCCTTGAAAACCTCATTTGGGGTTGCCTCGATTTGCGTGCATAGTCCGGGCGCGTAGCCGGAAAGCTTAAATATGAATTCTGTGAGGAAAATGCTAAATTTTGATATTTAATTGATTAAATTTGACTTCGGTTAACATTTTGGGCCAACGGACCCGGACCCGTGATTTGACGGTCCCGGAGGGTCCGTAGGAAAATATGGGACTTGGGCGTATGCCTGGAATCGAATTCCGAGGTCCCAAGCCCGAGAAATGAATTTTTGTGTGAAATTGTTTTCTGGAAATGATTAAGGAAAATAAAAATGAAATTTGATTAAAAGACTATGGTACCGGGCTCGTATTTTGGTTCCGGCGCCCGGTACAAGTCTTATATATGGTTTAAGCGCTTTCTGTAAAGTTTGGTTGAAAACGGACGTCGTTTGACGTGTTTCGGACTTAAATTGGAAAATTGATGTTTTATGAAAATTTGGTAGAAATCATGAGTTTTGAGGCTTGATCCGATGTATATGATGTTATTTTGGCGATTTGATCGCGCAAGTAAGTCCGTATGATATTTTTGAGGTTGTGTGCATGCTTGGTATGGAGCCCCGAGGGCTCGGGTGAGTTTTGGATAGGTGTCGGAGTGCATTT